ATTGATACAGAGTACATCATACAATAAAACATGGTTAAGATTACATGGAAATATGTAAGGTTAAGATTATATGGAAATATGTAATTGGGTGTCGGGGAAATAGCTTGGTGGTCCAAGCACCTGTCTGGCAAACAGAAGAACACAGGTTTGATCTCTGGTACCGCATGCTGTTCCAGCCTCGTGCCCAGCCGGCCACTGAAACCAGGTGTAGTGGTGCATACCTATAATCCCAGTGATGGAGGAGGCCAGCACAGAAGCATCAGTACTAGTCTGAGCTGAAGAGTGAAAATGAGAACAAAATAAACAATTAAATAAATAGAATATTTTAAGAAGAAACTATGTAATCAATCTCCTAATAAAACTTAAATGTATAAATGAAAATCTACACGTATGCATCAAGTTGTGCCACATTTGGTGTAAACATGAGGAAAATAATACTATTTTACATAGTCCTGGAAGTGTTCATTATGTTTCTCAAGTGTTTTTTAAATATTTATTTATTTATTTATTCATTTATTTGTGTGTGTGTGTGTGTGTGTGTGTGTGTGTGTGTGTGTGTGTGGCCAGCTCAGTCCACCAGGGGGCGAGGCTGGCTGGCATGTGGTGCTGGGGGATTGAACCGCGGTCCCTGTTCTTTGCTTAGCTTGTTCTAGGTAGGTGCTTTAGACCACTGAGCCATCTCACCAGCCCCTGTTTTTTTTTTCTTTTTTGATAAAATGAGGAAAATAATTTTAAATTACAGATAGTTTAGAATCCAGTCAGTCCTTGTAAGAATGTAGAACTAGATGCAACAATCTTTCTTTCTCAAACATCTATCTAGTATTACCCTCATAAAAACATGCAGTTAGAAATCAATTCTGAAATGAGGAACATTCAAATTTGGTAAAATCAGTAGAGTTTATTTTGCAAGATACCCCCATATTGAGGCCTAATAATTACCATGATGGTACTGATATTCATAAAACTATATATCATCACTTATTATAGAAAATAAGCTGATGGATAGAGACATAATCCTCATACTATTGACATATATTTGATACATATTATAATCTTTAAAATATGTAATATGATATAATCTTCAGAATTATGAAGACGACTTTATACACACCATGGCTATGGCATATATGTACACATGGGTTATATTCTCCATTATAATATTACAATTCTTACTTAAAATATAATCTTCTAAAGAAAACATTGTATATCTATGCAGATTTTTGTTTTTCAATGTTCTCTTCCTTTTCATTTAGATTTTAGAAAATTTTGAAGCACTGTTATAGATACTTTGGGATTTTTACTTAATGTCTAAGATCGTCTGCACATTGGAAGCTCCTGGGATTGAAAAGAAGTTGCTTTCAGCCACCAACTGCACTCTGAACTTAGTCAGGAAAAGAATTACGGCCAATGTGAGAGTGTGAACGCGGACAGAAGAGGGAAAGGAAACAGCGTCCTCTCTTCTCCCCTCAGGAAGAGAAACAAACTTTCTCCAGAACACTTGAAACATCCTGGAAATCTGGTCACACTTGGTCTCTGACCAGATTTTCATGTTTTGCTATCCACAGAGTGTGTCAATTCACACCCAGATTATTTCCTCTAAAATGCTTTCAGTTTGGCTCTGCCCAGTGCTCGTGACATCTATGATATCTCTTGGTAATTTTCCATCCTGACCTCCTTGTTGATCTGCCTGCAAACTCCCATCAGCACATGTAGACTTCAGGATCTACCTCAAGATTTCTGCCTTTCTCAGCACTGTCAATATACTGATGGTTCTTCTATAATTACACAAAAGCATTCTCATTTTTTTCAGTAAGTGCCATTAGTAATTCTTACTTGAATGGTTTGCAGGACATTCAGACTGGGTTTCTGCATCTCCTTCATCACATAAATTTTCAGACTTGCTACTAGCTAGCAGAAATAACAAACAGTAATTATCAGAATCAAAATATTTACCTTAAAGAAACTGACCAACAATATCAAACATATTTTGAAAAGTTATTGGGGAAACTGCCCAATGTAAACATACGATGTAATTACATATAACTGAGGCTGAAGCCTGATTTCTTCAGTGAAAAGGCTTTAGCCAAGATACCAACATCTTAAAATTATATAAGAACAAAAATTTGAGTAAACAGCTTATATGTGATAATGCACAGGAGATAGGTGCAAATACGTGGGACCAGAAGATGCCCTAATTATGAATACTGTATTTTCTATACCTGGGCATGAACAACTAGTAAAGAGAACACCATAGCTCTACAACCTGACAAAACACAGCCAATTTCTTTTGCATAGAAGCACAGATCCTCTTCTACATTCTTCTGACTCTATCATTCCATGCAAATTGTATTTATTCATGATAATGTTAGCTACAGAACTGATGCTGAGATATCTGAAAACCAGGAAAATGCAGGTGAAGAAGAATGAAACCAGATGAAGGAATTTTACAGAAGCTTCCCTACTAGTCCCGGCCCAGGGTGCAGATGCAAGCAGAGAGAATCACTCAGATGAAACTATGACATGCACAATATTTGCAAATATTAGTAAATATCCACAGTGAGAAACCAATAGGCAATGCTTCCCCAGAAAGTAGGAGCATAAATAACAATGGGTATATGAGACATTTCATGAAGGTTGAAGGACACATTACAGAAGCTGGTCTTTAGGAAACAAACATTTATTGCTGTCTTATAACACTAGGTTAAACCTAGCACTTGGCTTGATGGTATATTCGAGATCCACTTATGTCAGGCAGCGTCAAGTTGGGTATAAACAAGTGTACATAAAATATAGTAAGGAGAAAAGATACTCTCTCCCTCATAATCTAATCTTGAAAAAGAAAACATAAGATAAAAAAGGTCTTACTTCAATACTGAAAGATGGAAAAATGAAAAATAAGTTATAAACATTTCCAAGTATGTGCAGAAAGGATGGGATAAGAATACAGAGAATATCGATGTCTCCACTCACAAAACCCAGGCATTACTGATCCTGATTATCAAGCAGAAATAAATAAATGCAAAAGGACACTTACTCTATAACAAAAAAGTCCTTGCTGGGTTTTATTTGGGACATTCCCGTGAAGTATAGACAGGTATACAGAGAGAAGAATCCGTCAATCACCACATCTCCATCCTTATACACTCTGGTGCTCCGGCTTTGAAGACAGTCATCATCAGACACATTGTTGTATACTATGAGAGGCAGCTGCAAGAAGAGTAAGATCATGCTCAAAAGGGGCATCTTTGTAAAGTACATGCTAATGTTTAAATCTAAAGGAATTATATACTTCTCATGTTTGCACATAAGTCCAAAAATCTCATCATATACAACCTTGAAGCAGGACAGTCCCACAATATTCCTTTTCCTGTCTCTTGCTTTCATTCACCACCCCCTTCTTCTTGAACAACCACCTACCCGAGAGACATCGTAGCAGTAAATGGTATGTCATGACAAGCTGCCCATATTCAGACTACCAGAATGACAGGCACTGCAAACATGAAACTACTGTTACAAATTACCATCTGCAGTGCAGTAGCTTAGTTCACAGGTATCAGTATATATAGTTAGTCAGGGTGAGAATCTTTCCAATTAACTCCTAGATTAAAAAGTCTTCTGAAGATTCTCAGGATCATTGCCTTGCTCATCTTTTACATATAACTGTATGGCTTGACATTGTCATGTTTCCTAGCTTTTCTCCTTTCCCTCTCTTGATTAGTTAGTCCTTGAGATCCTGCTTTCCTTTTACTTGTATTATATCTTTCTATTTGTATTTCTTCTTTGGAGTTCTTATACTAGGGAGACTATACGATATTTACACATGTGTGTCTGGTTTATTTCACTTATGAGTATATGTTCAAGTGGCATCCACTTCAATATAAAGGCTTGCAGTTTATCATTCTTAATAGCTGAATAATACTCCATTGTGTAAAAATACCACATCTTTCTCAACCATTCCTCAGGTGATGGGCATCTCTGAGTTTGGTTTGCTCTTCCTTTTCTACTTGTTGAAGGTGCACCATTAGGGTGAGGACATTTCGCTGACCTTCTCAGACCAAAAAGCTACAACTCTTGTTGCATAGGTCCTGCTTTACCTTGGTCTTAACCATCCAGTAGAAAAGTATGAAGACGAAATATAGGAAATAAAGCCATGCTGTTATGTTGAGCTGTGGGGGACTCAGGTCAATAATTTCTGACATTGCCAGTTAAACAGAAGACCCAATACTATTATGGGCTACTGGACTCTTTTGGAGTATTTTGCTGAGTTTACACACCTATAATATTCAATAACGGAACTTAGAAAAAATGGGATATCCCGATGAATGTCCATTTTGTATTTGTGTATTCCAAGTGGTTAGGATAGATATATAGTTGCATTCTCTTAAGGAATAGAATGATTTGTTCTAATGGTGTTTGTAAATAGGATCACAAGTCCACATCTTGTACAGCAATTAACCACTAAGAAGAATATATGCAGTGTATTATTTGTTGAAACTGTACTTCTGATTTGATTTGAAACTGTCTCATTGCTGTTTATCAATAAATCTTTGAAAAAAAAATCTAAAGATGAGGTCTGCAGTGTCACTTGGTGACCATGCATCCTGTGCATCTACTTATATCGGTAGGGAAGCAGGTGTATATGTGGGAATGGATGGGCGTGTGGTTTACCATTTCAGCAAAGATAGATGCTTTAATGATCCTGACGTATTTCATCCAAGCCTCCACGTCCTTAGAGGAATTGTCCACTATTTTCCCTGAAGCTCTGCATCTGAGGTCTGATGTCCCTGTTGAAAAAACATATTGGGAAATGTTTATAGATCACTTCTCCACCTCCAGGCACCATCATTTCCCTCTAAATATTTACACCAAGTTCTCAGAAGCCTTCCCCTCCTACATGGATTTTTGTCTGAAGCCTTAACCTGCAGGCTATTTGCATGGGTAGCATTTGGGATGATGTAAATGGATTGCACCACAGGATTTACTCTTACCTGTTTCTGAAATGACCCGGGGAGACCCAAACTTGGTGTTGAAGATTTGGCATTACATTCACCCCCAAAGGTTAAGAAATCATGGTCACATACACTCATGAATAAGTGTGGTGCAGAACCTGTGTCATTATAATCTGTTCCTAAACCAACACTTTGGAACCCCACATTATTAATACCTTTATGATAACATAGGAACTGGTTCTGTCTAAAGGAAAGGCAGAGAATTTGAAAGTACTGCTGCATCTTTCACTACTAAGAGTATTGGACATGAGAATCATAAGTGTAGACTGTTACACCACCAGAGTTCCAGCGAGTTTACAAAACAATGGACATATTATTCATGGTTCCATAATGGTTGGGTAGATAGCATTTTGCATGTGCCAAATTTTTACTATTATGCAGCGCAAGTTGTGAACCCTAATGTAAGCTTAAACTTGTTTTATTGTTGGGCTATCACTCACTTATGAATAATGGTATGTAATAATTGTTCAAATGACACGCCAAAAACAGAATATATGTTCACATTAATTATTATAATCTTAAAACATTAACAATTGGTCATTACATTTTAAAGAAAACATAATGACCAATTTGATACTTACTGTTCCATGTCACAGTTGAGGTTCTAAAAACTACTTAGTCCAAATAAAGCTAAAGTAGAAGTGCAAAATATAAAAATTTCAAATACCACATGTAGAAATGAATTAATAAATATGCAATAATATTTTAATATAAGATGTATGTTGATATATTAATACACTGAATTCTTTAACTGATGTATAACATAAAATTAATACATTAAAGTGAAGGGATTGCAGGTTTAGTCTCCTGGGCACTGCAAGATATACCCATTACACACACTCAAACATATACAAACAGACACATACCCACTCATACACACTCTAAGGGCACAGATAGGGCCACTGAAAAAAGCAATGCTTTTATTTTTTTCATTTCATATGAAATAAAAATCAGTGATTTACTGTGTTGTAATATTTTCCTCTACTTTAGGCCTTCTTTATTGTTATAAATTCACTCATGTTTCCATAACATTTATTGTAAACCTAGTATTTGGGAATATGACTTAATTTGAATAGAGGGATTTCACAGATGCAATAAGGCTAAAATAAGGTGGGCTGAATTTGAACACAAATGATGTTTTAAATAAGCAGAGAAGTGTACCACGTCATGATGGTGTTGAGGACTGCAGAGATCCCACTGCACAGCCCAGACAGGTGATTGAGATTTCTCATGATTTGTGGTGTGCAGTTTACACTCAGCTTGAGGAGTGGACACATGTAAATAATGGAGACAATTTCTTTTCATCTCCTTCACTTCCATCTAGATCTCTCTCTCTAAATCATCTTTTTCCATTCTTGTTGTTATTGATATTATTAGTCCTGTCTCAAGTTAATGACATATTAGGTTTATATTGAATTATTTTATAAGATTCCAGTACATTATATTACTTTAATCTACACATGGTCCCTTCTCCTCCCTCTTCGCTGTTACCTGTGTTATTTTGGATACCTTTTGATTTGAAGAGACCTGCCCTTATCTCATTATCTATCCCTTAGTATTGTCTTCCTTTTTAAAAATCTGAATCAAATGCAAGATCCAACTTAGTTTTAGTATCATGAATCTGGCTAAGTTCACTCCACATATATTCCAGGCTCATACATTTTTCTATAAATATCTCAGATTTGCCCTTCAGTGCCGAGTAGTAGTCTATGCTTCATAAAGACCACATTAACTCCCTCCAGTCCTCTGTTGATATACATGCAGGCTACTTTCAAGATTTGGCTATTATGAATTGTGCAGCTATAAACACTGATATTCATATACTGCTATAGTGTGATATATTTAGCTCTTTGGGAAAAATACACAGAAGAAGGAAAACGGGGTCATAGGAAATTTATAATTTTAGTTCATTTTAGGATTTTATAGTTTACAACACCATCAACAATGTAATAGGGCTACAGTTCACTCCAGACTCAGAAGCGTTTTTATTTATTTATTTATTTAATTTATTTATCATTGACATACGTTGACATACTTTCTTGTGTAAGAATGAATCTTTATTTTTATTTATTTTTATTTTTATTTAATTTTGTATTCATTTTAATGAGAAAAAAGATAAAATAGCAATGAAACAGTTTCAAAAACAGGTTAGTACGACAGTTACAATAATCATTACATTGCATATTGTTGTCTACATAGTAGTTAACCAGAGGACAAGATGTAGACATGAAATCTTGTCTAAACCCTATTGGTATAAACCTTTCTTTTCATTGAACTAAGAAAAAGTAGCTGTATATCTATCCTGTCGTGTATATACATAT